TATATATTTTCACACTTCAATTGGGATATCATCAAGTCCTACTGACTTTCCATACTTTGTTTTTTTAAAGCCTCCTCAACTTCTTTTTTACTAATGCATCGTAAAAATGGAACGTTTTATTATTATTAACGATATTAAGATCATTAAGGTCGATCGAACAAAATTATAAAATCATGCATGAAACTAGTTCGATGAATAAAATGTAAAAAAATGATGATAATTCTCACTTTAATAGGAAAAGTAGTTGATACATGCAAAAGGAAACATAAATTTAAAGTACAAACCTGAGAGAAAAAATTGTCAAAGGATTTTATTGACTTTTCCCTTGTTCGTCCTTCCAAAATGATAACGAATAGAAGGAAGTATTTGTCTGGTAGATTAGGAGAGAGGGTTTGAGCAAGGGGGAGGTGAAAGGGGTCAGTTAAAGTTGAGAGAAGCCTCAAGCAAAGAGAGCAATCATATTAGTTTTCAGCCATCAAGCAATCATATGACCTCATACAATAATAAGCCCTTCATATAGATAGGACTCAATCTAAAGACCAAAACATCAATGGGAAAAAATTAATGACAGGATACCAAAATAAGGAAAAAAATTTATTAATACAAACTATATGGCTCTCTAGTGGATCACATAGAAGTCCCAGTCACAATATACATGCTACTAAATCAATTTTATTGGGGCCATGACTAACTTTTCCCCAAAGAGTGGAAGACATAAGCATGGTGGTTGAGACAGAAAAACAGGCTTACGCATAGTTCATGATAAAACAATAACTCTAATAAGAATAAGCAGACAAGGTTTCAGGGCAAGATGTCTCCATATGACATGCAATTGCATCTTAATAGATAGCTTGACAATGAGTAGAAGACAAGGAATAGGTTGCCAAGAAAGTAGCGGTAATATGAGATCAATAAAGTCAGCATATGGAAGTGGCAGTGCCAGCAGCAAAATTGATCAAGCCATGCAAACATTGGTAGCGTCATGTAGGATAAGGGGACCATGGTGGTGGTGAATTCATGAACATTCATAGTGGCATCTTCCCAATGAAGGAGAAGTGAAGCGTTCTCTTAAACCCGATTCAATTTACCATAGGATTCAATGTTTGCTCATATCAAAATGTAGTGTCATGGAAATTACTCTTTAGCTGTTTCTTATACCCTTCTTCAATGAGGAGAAGAGAATGAAAAAAATAGAAAGAGAATAAGTCCTGCAATAAGGCAAGGGAAAGGAAAAAGAGATGAAATTAAAAAAAAAAGAAAGAAGGATAGGTTTGCACAATAATAGTTTCATTCATGAAACAATTAACTACCCAATACAAACATTATGGGATTTATAAAGAAACTTTGGTAAAAGTTTAAGAAATTCATAAGAAATAAAATAATGGTCCTAGTATTCAAATCCATGAAAAGAAAAACTTTAAGCAAACTTAAAGTGAACATAATTTATTAGGATTTGAAGTCCTTGGATCATATATGCTCCAACTAGAATAGCCCAAACTCTCAACCATCAAGATATTATCTTCTATGACCTGATGGCCTCACAATTTTAAACCATCCCAAGTGTGTTTTGTATCTAGCACATTTAATTTTGGATATTCTAACAAAAGTTCAATCATTTCACCAAAGGGCACCTCAAAATGAGTTCAACTTTATATTCTTCTTAAGAGGTATTACAAACGTCCCACTTAAGTAACTGAAATGCTATTCAATATTCTTAGCCTGTATTTACTCAGCAAGTAGATAAGGTTTTAAAAATTGCCACTATATATTCAAGAGATGGCTCCCATCATATATCACATTATCCCAAATAAGGCTAAATAGATAGCTCCCATGATGTATCACCATGTATTGTATGGCACAAATTTATCATTTTTCAGCTAGTGTGTAATGCTATATTATCAATTTTAACACCTCAAACTCCCAACTTGAGAAATTGTTCGCTTTAGACTAATGGCATTAGTGTTTTATTTTATTAGTGTAACATTCCAAAAAAGTTATCGTAGTACTCCTATACAAATATGTTTAACTTTAGAGTTTCTAATTAAATTTCAATCATTCAGCTAAAAGGCACCAAATTGTTTAAGAATTATGTTGTATTTTACTTGCGGGGTTTCACATTGGCATAACAATATATCCCAAATAAATAGAGTGGGGCATCACAACTCAAGTGAAACCTCAAATTGAACTATAATCTCCAAAACAATTAGAAAGGAAAAAAAGGGCAGAGAGCATAAAGAAACAACATGGAAGCATCCATTCTACACCCAATTAAATACTAAAAAAGGCAAAAGTCACGGACATATATATATATATATATATATATATATATATTCATAT